TAACATATGGCACAAACATCCAACAGCAATAAGGTCCTGGTTTTCTTTTTGCAACTCGACGAAAACGCTTTTTCGGCAACCAAAATTTACATTCGCATTATCGGCACAAAACCTCGATGCGGCGCTTAGATACAAATTTTTTTCGTTTAAATTCTTTTTTAAGGAGTTGGCTATATCTTCCGACTTCTCGGAATCAGATTCATAGAAGCTTAAAAGTTTGATATTAATGCCTGAGCTTTTAGTAAAGTATTTTAATATTACAGGAAAAGTTTTTATATTTCCTTTGTTCGAGGCATCGTTAGAAATAGAAAAGGGTGCTGTTTTTGCAAGTCTTCAACGACGGTTTTAGTAGAATATTTTGACAAAACTTGTGTAACTATTTTAGTGCATTTAGTTCTGCCACAAGTAAAATTCTTAGCTGTTAACGAATCAGGAAAAAGTAGATGAAAAATTTTGCTCGAACAATCAGCAGACAGGTAGCTGTGGCTATGCATTACTGTATGGTATGCAAATGCAGCCTCTGCCAACGCACTCTCCCTTTTTGCTGCTGAAAGCTGCAGATTAAAAACTGTTGTAACAGATTTCTGTTGAGTAAGTGATGACGCCTTTTTACAATGTTTTGAAGATTGCATATGCTTCTTTAAGTCCGTTATTCCCGCGTTTGAAACAGAAAAATTTACGCAGCATATTATGCATCTTGCCTCAAAAGACTTTGGAGTCTGCCTAATCCAATTGTAATTATTCAACCATTTTTTCTGAAATTGTTTTTTCTTCGCGTTTGGGCCGGTTTTTTGTTTGATTTCTCCTCTGAGGAATCATAGTCAGAAGATTCGCCATTTTCCATAGTTTAAAAGAAGAAACTAATATTTCTGTAATTTACATTTTGTTATTAAAACGTCTATTCCGGATTTGTAATACATATTACAAACCTTAAACAGCAAAAAATGCAGCAAAATGGTCCGAGTGCAGATCGCGTCAAACGTTCACAACTAGATTCAATTTATGTTAGTTGCAAACGTTGAGTGTAAATAGTTGGAAAATGAAAAACGGCACTGGGTGATACTAATGAAATTATTTTTAGTATCGGCTATTACGACTTACGACTGACTTGGGCCATTCACGTCTGACATGAGACTTTGCTTAGTTATTGACTTAACAAAAATCAGTACAAATCAGTACAGAATCCAAAAACTCAGTATATTTGCTTGCTGATTTAGGAATCAGTACGAGGAATGAAAAATCAGTACTGTACTGATGAAATCAGTACGTCTGGCAACCCTATTCATAATGCAAATGTATAAAAATTCTACGTCATAATTTTTTTTTCTGATACGGGTTTTCACGTCATTTACTCCCGTCATTTTATTAAAACTATAAACTATGCGAATTTTTTGTAATTTTTTCGGTTTTTCGCAATTTATCCGGAATTTCGAGGGCCAAACAGACCCCAGATTCGGGTTCAGCGGATCGAATTACATGTCGGTACGTGGGTGTAATTAAAAGCACACTCCACTTTTTTTTTGTGTGCTATGTATAATATGTACTTCAATATCTATATACTAGCTATTATTCTGATCTTTCTGCTTACCTGGAAATCTTAGGAGATAAGGAGATAGCAGAGAAAGTTTCTCAGTGGTAACCCTGCACTCGTCCTACCTAGCCGAGTATTTATACAGACTGCACTCAGCACTACGAGCAAGGCAACACACAGCAGCCTCGCTCGTTTAATAGGAGCGTGTGCAACAGCGTTGCCAGGTTGACGTTTTTAACGTCATTTGGACGTTTTTTGTATCCTGTTGACGTTTGGACGTTTTTTGTGTAAAAAATTACGTTTTTTAACTTCCCAGTAATTCTTCTTTGTTACTTAATCTTGCAAGAGGAACTGATTTTGAATTATTTTCTTAATAAATCTTTACAATCTTTGTGTTTTGCTGCAGCTGCTTCAAAAGATGTTTTTTTTGATTCTTGGTCTAAGGATCCCGTGCTCAAAGGCTGGTTGTGTAAACACTCGAGGTTACGAGGCTTGCTGTAATGTTTGCAATTGCACATTAAAAGCCGAATCAGGAAGAGCCGATCTATTTCAACACGCACGCTCGCAACAGCATCAAAATAGCTGTGCAGCATAAAACGTCAGAAAAAAGTAGGCAACTTTTTTAAGATTTAATTGAAAATGTAATGAACGCAAAAAAGACTGAAATATTGCTATGCTCCTTCCTAGCAGAACGTAATTTAGCATTTTCGACAACCGAAATGTCTACAAGAAACAAAACATTAAAAATCAACGCCCCTTTAAACTTACACACACACATTATTGCCCTGAATTTTAATGGACTATCAAACTGCAAACTCAAAAAAAATCTATAAAATCTGAATAAAAAGTTGAAAATCTAGCTGAAAATTTGCAGATTTTTTATAATTTTTGCACAGTTTTTGTGGATTTATATTTTGTTAAAGAGCTTGGCTTTTATGGAAAAATAATATACATTAAATAAACGAAAGAGAAACAGCCAAAATCGATCAAAATGTTTATGACTTAATCAGCTGATCACAAGTGTATGTATAAAATTATTTTTATATTAACGATCTCAAACCAGTTTACAATGAATTTTAAATGTGCTCTGTCGAATTGACATTTTAATATACCTTACATACATATATACCTTTGTACACAATAAAAGTTTAGTAAGAACAATTGTGGAGTTCCACACAAAAATGCTACATTTCCATCATAAAAATGGTTTCAGATTGGTGCTTTTACGGCAATCGTGTGATCTCAGCTTTACGTTTTGGTGCGAACGAGTGATTTCAATACGACTCAATAAAGGTTTGGTTGCTTTATCTCGGGTTCTCTGTTAAAATATGGACACATACCAGTAAATGCAAGGAATTTGCATTAGCATTTCGAGTTTTGGAAATGAAACGTTTTGGTGTGGAGCTCCAAAATTTTTTCTACATTCATTTGAAACAGACGTTTTTGGGTAGGAAATGACGTTTTTTCAGACCAAGAGTGACATTTTCTCATGACGAAGACCTGGCAACACTGGTGTGCAAACAAGCGGGGCTCGCTAGTTTACCGAGCTAGCCAAACTTCTCGTGCCTCGCCTCATTGCCATTGCCTCTTTGCCTGCGAGGCATTGAGTAGGTGTTTGCTCGCTCGCTCGCTCGAACTCGGAGTTTTTGCCTACTCTGCGTAGTATGAAACAAATACAAATTGGGTATAAACAACTAAATTAAGCCTGATCTTGAGCCAATCGATTCAAAGTATCGGAACTGTTTTTGTTTTCTAATATCTATGGAATACGTTAACTGATCGAAACTAGCGATCTTCATACATCATTTTTCAATAAGACTACTAGTTGGGAAGATATTAAAAAAAAAGAGTTTTTTCCATACATAGTTACGTTTAATTCTTGTTTAATTTAGAAAACAAGTGAAATATTAAAAGAAAAATGTTACTAGAACGTTTTCAAGGTTTTTAGGCTTTAGCATGTCTATATTATATTTTTTTTATTTACCTACGCGTTTTCCCTTTCCAATTTAGGCCGTCGAATGAAGGTAATTGCCGAAATGACGTATAGTTTGATAATGACTTTGAATTCATGCGTTCACTAC